AATAACATGAACTGCATTTCATTAACTAACCTTAACTAAACTAAGGTTATAAGGCATAACATTTGTCTAGAATAAAAACTGTGCTCTATAAAATATCAAATGAAAATTTAGTAGAAATTTAACATCTACTCGGAGAAAACACTGATTTGTGTCCTACAAACAATTGTATCTGATATTCAAGTACTGAAGTCATTCAAACACTTTTGGCAGGAGTCAGGACTGCTTTAATAGTTTAAATCCATAAGTTAACAATCAAACACTTTCATGTTTGCTGATATGAATTTCCTGCAAGACAGAGTGAAACACTACAAGCAGTGAATTTTCCATAGTGTGATCCAAATCAAGCAGTTTATTGCTCACATAAAACAAAATACAGATATCCAGGTGAAGTTCTTCAGGGGAAGATTTACAGAGAGGACATGGGGAATGACACTCCGGGGGTCCAATCAGTGCGCAGGCTCTGTGAGAAAAGGAAAGTCACATTGGATACAGAAAGTTTCTTTATATGTCCCATAAATAAGCATTTTCAACAATGCCTTATACTTTTATCTTTTAAACCCCAATGTCTCAAATATGAGCATTCTTGCGCAGAGGAAGCCCATCCTAAAATTTAAAAAACAGCTATATATTTTCACATATATATCACCAATGGGGTATGTGTCGAGCATCACCTGACCAAACTAGAAAACAGGTCTCAACACTTTATCCGACAAGTAGATGTGAAAACAGTATTATAACCTGATGACGATATCTACAGACCTTTTAACAGCTATTTTAATATCAGAATGTTAGAACGTTAGAACAAAATTCTAGTTATCAATCTGCATATGCACTGGTTATGATCATATTTGGTATCTCCTTTGAAGGCATCTTGAGTAAAACAGCTCCATATTTAATCAAGCACATTAAAAAAAACTGAATCTGAAGTGACAACCTGTTTTACAGAATATGAAAGTTAACATAACCCTCATTTATACTGTGAAAAGTTTTTACAAATGTGTAAAATATTACTGAAAATATATCGTTTCTGTTGTGTTACTTTACATTTGTTTCTACTCACCATACTACTGTACTGTTAGATGTATTCATATTAATCTTATTTTATGATTTTTAAAAAAAATAGTTTTTACTCCGTTTTCTCTAAACTTTTCCTACCTAACACCTAAACCTCCCTTGCGGAGCGAAGTTTGGAAGCCTCTGGTTTAGACCTTTTCACTTTTGCTTTGAAAACGGTTAAAATACTTTCTTATGAAAGTTTAAACTTTTCATGTTTCACCAAAGTTTGAGTAAAAATCATAACACCAAAACGGTTTACACTTACTTGACTGCACTGCTTTCTTCTTTCCTGCAAAACAGCAATATTATTGTTAATAATAACAACATTAACAAGCTCTTAAACTCAAGTATGTAGCCTTGTACACAACACCAAAAGTTTCGGTTTCTAAACAACAAACGGTCCATGAATATGGGCAATGCCCAGAAGATACAAAATTTAATGGCAAGAAAAATGTGCACCATAAAATGAATAAGGGTTTATGACATTTAGACAGCATGCACACTACTGCAGAGCTCTTAAACTTGACATCTCACCTCCATATGACAGTTTGTAGTACATGAAAGTCATGATTCCTACACCAACCCACATCTCCTGGTATGCTTTGGTGTAGTAGGGGGCCACCTTAGTCCACCAGCCAGCGAATGCACCACCTGCCATCTAGTGATCACAACATAAAGATGCATGAACATTCGTCTAAAAGGCGTCAAAAACCATGGAACATTAATTTACCACTTCAGAGCCCCGCACATTGCATGCAGGAAAAAAAAATAGTAGGCTAAATCGTGCGCACGATTAACCATTTCGTTCCCTCGATTTATAAATTCAAAAAATCTACAGAGTAACACGACACAAACAGCACTTTCAAGGACTTACTCAAACATTCAAGGACTAGTTCGTGAATAAAAAAGAACACTATTAAACTTGAATATAAGGAGTCTTTAAGACGGTGACCAAAAAAAGTGCAAAAACATTCTCAGTATTTCACTGTCAGAGTTTAAGACGCATTCATGCCAAGCTCGGTTGAGTTTAAAGATAACGCGTCTCTTGAAAGGCGAAAGGAACAACAGATCTTTTCGCTGTCTGATATAGAAACAAAATTCCCGCAGAGGCTGTGAAAAAAACACACGCCTCGATTCATGAGGACCATTCAGGCGTCAAGCTTGAGTCATTAACCGATGTTGATTCATTTAAGGCGCTCAGCAAGGCCTTGTCATTTACAGTTATGTCCGAAACAAATAATGGTTTAAAAGACAGGGAATCTTCTTGAAATAGTCAGTGATTATTTAAAACATGCCAACTGAAAACATATACAATTTATCATAAGAAAACATTCTCACCTCTAGAATGTAAGTGCACTGGACCACTCGGAGAAGGTCACTGTTCAGCGCTAGCTCAGTTCGGGGAGACAGCGGAACATCTATGTAGGTTTCCGCTTTGTAATTAAAAGCACCGGCACCAAAATAAAAGTCCGCGTGTGAGGGTAACGCTTAAAGGGGTCATATGATGCTGCTAAAAATAACAATATTTTGTGTATTTGGTGTAATGAAATGTGTTTATGCGGTTTAAGGTTCAAAAAACACATTATTTTCCACATACTGTACATTATTGTTTCTCCTCTATGCCCCGCCTTTCTGAAACGTGTTGATTTTTACAAAGCTCATCGGTCTGAAAAAGCAAGGTGTGCTGTGATTGGCCAGCTATCCAGTGCGTTGTGATTGGCCGAACTCCTGAAGCGTGTGACGGAAATGTTACGCCCCTTACCATACTGTGATGCTTGGGCTGGACTCCGCTTCGTCCACGGTGAAAGCCGATCCGGCGATCCACAGCGCTAAGTTGAAGTATTTCCTCAGCGACCAGCACGGATCAGCTCTAGGCATGACAAAAAAGCGATATCGTCCTTTTGGGAGGGCAAACAAAGGAGTTTAGCTTTCACAACGAAACACACAGCTCTTCACGACATGGCGGCAGCAACAATACTACAGCGAGAATAAAAGTTATGCCTTCTTTCTTTGCGTGAACATTTGGGCGGCGTTATGCAAATCTTCCCACATAGTGAGGTAGATATGTGGGGGCGTGTTAGAATGAGCCGTTTTAGGTAGCCTTTTCTTTTATAAAGAATATCTCTTTGGATTTGAGACTTTAGTCTTTGCAACTTTACAGATCTTCTTTATGCACCAAGAGCTTGTAACACTCCAAAGAGAAAGAAAAACTTGAAATCGCATCATATGACCCCTTTAAATGTATTTTTCATTGTCCTCATTGTGTCTCCTTTAGACAGACTTAAAATTAGATTTTTAAATGGATGAAAATTAATTTAAATTAAATATTAGCATTTTATAAAAACATTAGCACCACACAGTCTCTTGCTTTGCTCTAAAAGTATAGATAGATAGATAGATAGATAGATAGATAGATAGATAGATAGATAGATAGATAGATAGATAGATAGATAGATAGATAGATAGATAGATAGATAGATGGATAGATACGTTATATTTTCTTTGTATATTATACCAAATCATTCTTTGGATAAAAACCAAAGAATGTGAGATGCTAGAAGCAACCTGGTCTGAAAAACAAGACCAAAGTCACTTATAAAAATTGACTTGGCAACACTGGTGTGAGAAATAATTACTATAAAAATACAAATTAGGTTTTGTTCAAATTTAATTTTCACTGACAATGTACATGGAGAGAACAATAAAGCTTGCAGTGTTCACAGAAGCAAACTAAGCTTGTTACACAAAAGTATCAGTATTTTTTTCTTTTTTCTGTAGAAGAGGTAACAACAAAAGTATAAGCAGAAAATGTGATAAGACAATATTTATGCTATATATATACTATATTTGGTTTTGCATCTGCAGGCTTTTGTGGTAACAAACACTCCACAGAAGAGAACTTCACTTTATCTAGCCCTACAGTTATTCCGCAGTCAAGAGATAATTACCAAACCTATACTTTGTATGCCACTTTCAGTCCATGCTACATGATAAACAGAGTTCTGTCACTATATGATAAAAGACAAGTAAAGATTTTAACTGTTATCAAAAAAAGCATGGGAGAGGTGAGAGTGCTATTGTTGGTAGTTCATGGGTACATGCAGCAAGCAGGACCACTAATGCACAAAGACAGTGGTGCAATCCTCTCCCCTTAGGCTAATCTCTGCTCTGTAATCCAGAAATATAACTCTGAAAAAAAATGACAGATTAGGTTGGATATCTGGGTTGACTGCTCTGGGTGTATGTGCTTATGTGTGTGTGCTACTTTTAGTTTGATCAGTCATTAGCTGTGTACTCTGGAAAGCTACATCACAAAAAAAACATTACTGTAATTAGAAACAAATGGGCACAAATGCAAAGGCAAATGTTAGTTTAGACAATAACATTAAAGCAGTAGTTCTAAAGACATTAAAATATCAGAATGAAAATTCTGTCATTTGTACCTTTTATTTTGTCTATAAAACACAAAAGTAAAGTTTTTTTTTGAAGAATCATTATGAAGTTCTTGTTAACAGTTCATAACCAGTAGTTGTCAAGCTCCAAAAATGGCAAAAAAAACATAAAACAATTAAAAAGTAGTCTTTCTGACTATAACTAGACACAATTTAATAATAATAATAATAATGATAATAAAAGTAGTTCTAAAGACATTAAAATATCAGAATGAAAATTCTGTCATTATTTACTATTGTACCTTTTATTTTGTCTATAAAACACAAAAGTAAAGTTTTTTTTTTGAAGAATCATTATGAAGTTCTTGTTAACAGTTCATAACCAGTAGTTGTCAAGCTCCAAAAATGGCAAAAAAAAACATAAAACAATTAAAAAGTAGTCTTTCTGACTATAACTAGACACAATTTAATAATAATAATAATAATGATAATAATATTTATATAATACATTTAAAAAAAGGATTATTATGATGTTGAGAATTTTTTTATTGAAAAGGTAGCTACTTCATGTCATAAAAATCAGTTTTATCTTATCAATCAATTACAAAAAGATTATGGCTCATCTTCCAAGTTTTAACATCACATAATACATCCTCATGTTAATTACTTTTAATTATTCTAATTAACTGGAGCAGAGGATTAGATTTTTCAAACTGGAAAGACAGAAAATGGTTGCATTGACTTTTCAAGCCAATCTCATGAGGAAACAATGAGGTGGCGATTTCATATGAATTTATAGGTGGTGATTTGTATGAAAATGCATTATCATTAGTACATTAAAGTATTACTATAAAAGTAATCATCTATGGGATGCAAGCAGATCATACAAAAACATACAAATCAGATTGTACAAATTCTTAAGAATTAACCACTAATTTGACAAAACATAAAATTGTTATGAATTGCCATGAGAAGGTGTTGGACTTCTACAATTAAGTGCCTCACAATGTGGTGCTGTAGGCCTCATAAGCAAAAGGGCAAAAGGGCAGACTCCAATCTCTGTGGATAGAGTAGGGGCAGGCGGCACACAAATGTTTATCCACATAACTAGAAATAGTAGGAATTTCCTCCCTGTGCTTTCCTGTCTCCTCTGATAAAGAATTAGATGCATTTCCAACAATACGATTTCTGTCATTACTCTCTGTAGGTGGACTCGGAGCAGAAAGAATTGTTGATGGAGCTGAAGGGGCTGGATGTCTCTGTATGCCGTCTTCCTGTCTCCTCAGGAAGTCTTTGAGAACTTGCTTGAAGACACCCACCAGTTCCCAGGGAGGAATGTCATTGTGGGCCAAAAGATCATGAAGCCTTGATGGAGCACAATAAAATGTTTAGTAAAATATTAAAGCAATATTACACAAGCACAGTAATCACAGCTGTGCTGATATTTAGTTTAACAGCATAATTGTGAGTGAGTAATGTTTTCATACAGAGCTCTGCACATGACGTGGGGAAAAAATGAAATAAAACAAGATACTGTGGCCACTGAGTAAGAATTTGTTCCCTTATCTAATTATTTTTTTCCTTCCTTTTAGTTAAATCCTGGATAAGATTTCACTAAATTAAAACAAGGGAACTAACTAGAAAATAATTCAGCACAATTTTTTGGCTTCTAAAATCTGCTGTCATATTCTCGTGTACTTAAAGGGCTATTCACCTAAAAATGAATGTTCTATCATTTAAAAATTCTGTCATTATTACTCACCCTCATGTTTTTAAACTGATATGATAGAATGTTCATTCTTTATTTTTAAAATAGTGAATGTCAGCCATTAAAGAAGACAGATTTTTATATTCTATATGTGATTTTTTTAGAGCATTCGAAGACTATTTTAGAGCATTTATATAGGATTTAAAGAACATTTGAACAATATGTAGAAAGTGAAGCAAGCAAGGCAAAACTGAGAGACCTTTTTTACCTGGAAAGTACAATGGCAGTGTGTGAGGGTGGGATGCGACCACAGAGGCGCTCTAGCTGGCGGCATTCAGAAGCAGGTATAAGGGCAAGCAGGCTTGGGTATGCTGGGGGGTGACGGTATCCCAGAATGCCACGGGAGATGCAGTACTGAAATTCCTCCTCTTGAACCTGATGTACTCTTTGCTCCAGCTGCCATAGCATCTCACGTAGCAATATCCGACCTGGGCCTCCACATCCATTTGTGTGGGGGCAACCTATGAAAGGCATGGCTGGACTGCAGTGAAGGAGCAATAAGAAAGAGTGTTGGTGTAATAAGTGGATAAAGTGCTGTATCCCAAAGTGACTTTCTTCTTTATGATCATCCTCTCTATAAATGAAATGTGACTTTTCATAGAGAGCTTGGTCTTCAGTAGACAGTCTTTCACACTGTATTACATCAAGCTGTGTAGTCCACATCCTGAACTGGCAGTGAAGTTAATTCATCACCATAGAGTTCCCCCTTTCAAGCTAATGCACATATAACTTTGATTATGATGGGTAATTATTTGAACATGATTTGAGTCATGTTGAGAAAGGCTCAAAAAGCACTTATGTTTGAAAAGGCATGTTAAAAACAAGCTAGCCTATTTGACGGTCAGGCATAAAATGCACTTCACATTAATTTAGCATAGTATTACAAAGCACTTGACATTTGCAGGCAAATTTTTAATCATGCCCTGATGGGGAAAAATATATATATATTAATAAACTAAGATGCTAGTTGTGTTTCGGAAACTGGTGGCTGGTTTCTAGCTGGTCCAAGCTGTTCATTAAAGGTAAAGGTTAGCATACTGACCAGTAATCTTGTTCCAAAAACAAGCATAACCAAGCTGGTTTGACCAAGATGGTTGATGCATAACCAAGCTGGTTTGACCAAGATGTTGATGTTCCAAGATGGTCTACCAGCTTGAACTAGCTAGCTAATCATCATCCTGTGCCAGTTAATCAGCTTGGACCAGCTACCAACTAGCTTAAACCAACTCAAATGCTTCAAAACAGCAGTGTGTGTGCCCTAAATAAAATAAGAAATGTCAAAATGGGACTAGAGATATATACAAATGGTGCTCTGAGAAAGACTGTTGAGGAGATAGATATACATGAATTGAATGGACAGGTACAGAAGAGGACAAAAAGCTGGGTAAATAGAAACAGGAGGAAACAGACAGAAAGGTGATGGATGGAGCAGAATTTAAAGGAAATGATTCACCACAAAGGATAGATGTTAGGTTTAACAACAGAGGTGAAGAATACAATGGAAATTACAAAAACTGACATTTAAAAGGACATTTTTACCTTGTGGGTCTTAGAGGTCGAGGTCCATGATGCTTTGACTCCATCTGGTACCACCAAATTGCATTAGGTTATGCAAATAAAATATGTAAATGAAGCCAGATATAGAATGAAAGGATACAGGCAAAAATGGTAAGATGAACAGATAGTATGAGAAAAGCAACCTAAAGAAATAATTATTCTGGTAGAAGATACTAAGAGAAACTAAAATAAGGTGTTTGAACAAGAAGAATGACAATCAAGCAAAATCAGAGGAAAAGCAAAGAAAGAAAGAAAGAAAGAAGAAGGAGTGTGCCAGTGACACGCAGCAATGTGCGGATGACTGCGACAGGCAAAGTTGAGATGAAGAATGTGAATTTCTCTCCTGTCCACTGCAAACTGCCTTCTGTCTCTCTGCTCTGATAACCCAGCCCACTCTGACTCGCATGCCCTCAAACATGCATTAATACACACACACAGACAATTTTGACTCATACAACAGAAATAACTCAACACAAACACTGACAGATTTGGTTTGAAATGTGCATCCTGCTTCTCATCTTTCAATACACTGTCACACATCTTGTGGTCTTATATTCAGCTTAAATTTCATGCCTCAAAATCTGCACCGGGGTAAGTCAGTCTGAGGTTCTTGTTTTCTACAGTAAAACGGTTAATGCAGTGTGGCAGTCAGAGTAAAATTATCTGAAAAAATGCACCCTGTGTCAGCATGTAATGTGACCCAGTGCCAAGGGGAGTTATGTCAGTACACAAGGGAACAAAATGAGAGTTCCTGGTCTGCTCAACAGTGTGACACACAGATGAATAAGCCTGTATTCTTGGGTGGAAAATAACGATTCTGACATATTAAACCATGGGATCATTAAATAAATACAAACATGTATTCAGTCTAAAATTTAATTGTAAAATAAATCACAGTTTATGGTCTTAGAGATCCTTTATATCTAAAAAAAATGTGTCTTACACTTCACATTTGTTTGGAAAACATGATCATGCAAATCTTAATTAGACAAACAAATATAAATAAGCATATGTACCCATTCTTCATTAACTACGTATGGTATGACCATTGTATGTTCATTTATGTGGATGAAAAGCGCTTGTGCTCAGAAGAGTTCATCACATAGCAGTTGGTGTCCATATGGTGGATTTGGGGAAGGCTGGAGGCTGGATGGTCTTCTGAGACTCATAATCACAGTCCAGCACCTGGTTCTGGTTCTGGGTCAGGTCAGGGTAAAGCACCAGACTGCTGGCCATGCCACCTGCCCTATGCACATGCCATAATCCCAAAACACAACTATATTACAATTACATGTGTGCTTGCTAATACTAAAGCAGTGCAAACTGAAAAACAGCAAAAACATAATCAGCATTGTTGGCAGCATATACAATCACAGAAATTCTAATTTATTTTACATATTTAAATAGGATATCAAAAGTGTTTTGAAAATGCATATGATCAATTATTCCAGTGTTTTCCCATATAAAATAACTAAACAATATAATATCATGGTTACTATAATTATGGCCTTTAATTATAAATAAATATGTTTATTTTTTGCAGGGGAATATGCAAGAGAAATCATCATCATCATCACCATCAGCATTTATATTAATAATATGTATGGCAGCAATGACTATATGTACTTTACAGTTTTTCTGAATTGCTAAAACACTAAACCCCAATCTCTGAACCAAATTCTCACTAGATTAAACCAATTTGTCGAATAAAGCACTCTTTCTGCTAAACCTTAAACAAGTTCAGGCAGCTCTATTTGCAAATCTCATGCACTCTTTTTGCAAAACTTTAAACACATTCTCATTCACTCAAACACTTATCACACTAAGATGCATTTACTGTAACATGCTATTCCTTTAGAGTTTTATTTGAACTTTTTGGCCTTTGCAGTTGGACTGCAGTATTTTTGCAGTATCCAAGTGCTGAATATATATAAACATTCAGTACTATTCAATATTCAGCATAATACTATTCTTGCAGTATAGGCCTATACAATATATTCACCTTACTCAGTTGCAATTACTATACTTTTTTACAGAATTGCAAAATTGTTTACTCAATACAATATACTTTTTTCTGTAATGTTCTGGAATTTAGTTTGAGTATTTGGATTTGTGTTTAAGGTTTTGAGAAAATGAGGGATGGTTTCAAGAAATGTGTTTTAGCAATTCAGAAAAACTGTAATTTACTTAAAATCAATAAGTCAATCAATCAATGAAATACTTGTATAATTATAATTTATTTCTTTGTTTACTTATTTCAATTTTATTCATTTATTTATTTTTGCAGAAAAAAAAAGATAAAGAAAAAACTGTCCCATAAACACTTTCTTGAGGTCATTCTAGATTTTGACTGTTATATTTCCATTCCCGCTCCCTAAATATGAGAGATGTGTGCATGTGTACATATGTGAGTTGCAATGCAATTTGTAGTTCTCCTTCACAGCCTAAGTATGAAAAGGTAGACCATGTCAGCAAAACACTTCATATCAGATCATTGTCGAATTATTCCTCTACAGCAGATTCAGACCTTAAGACATGACATCACCAATTATTTCCGTCTACTGTGTCATGTTGTATTATTTTCAAGGAGTGTTAGGTCTCGCAGTCGTTCTTTAGCTCACTTTGTTCCTCTTTCTAGCAACAAAACACTTGGGCCGAGGTTTGGAATAGCTGGGAACTTACTGTTCATGAACTTTCAAACACAAAACTAATTCCAGACATTTTTACGGCACTGTTTGAACAATTCCTATCTTTAATTGTGAGCCGTGTATCTACCTTTTGTACAAAGGGAGAAAGAAATTCGCTGAAAATGGCACAGGACCTTTCACTGCCCTCTCTAAAAACCCTCTATACCCAGAGGAGATACTGGCCGCCATTGCAGTCAGTCTCAAGTCGTAAGACGGAGTGAATGTAGCAGCCCTGTCACACATACCCACATAGAACGAGGCTAATTGTGAGTGTCAGTCTGTGTTCTGAGGTGGGTGATGTCATTGCCACTGGCAGGGTGCCTGTTCAGGGGCAGTGATGATTTGGGACATGGCTGGTGTGCACACACCGATACACCAGAGGGCAGTGTGCATGCTTACATAAAAAAAAGTAAGTAAGTATTTTTTTTTACTTCATAATTTGCATGCATTATTCAGTGAAAACACATCAAACATGCATCTATAAACCACAATATAATATAAATATTAATTATTATAACTATTTAACGTGTAAATGATTCTTGATTGTTTGAAAATTTGGGGTCAGTAACATAATATAATATTATTAATAATAATAATAAATATTTTTGTTGAACGTTTATTCCATAAGGATACATTAAATTAAACAAAAAGTGACAGTAGAGATTTTTACATTGTTACAAAATAATTGTTTTTTTTTTCAAATAAATGCTCTTCTTTTGAACTTTCAATAAAGAATCCTAACAAAAATGTATCACAGTTTAAACAAAAAATATTAAGCAACACAACTGCTTACAGCATTGATAATAATAAGAAATGTTTCTTGAGCATCAAATCAGCATATTAGAATGATTTGTGTAGGATCATGACACTGAAGACTGGAGTAATGATGCTGAAAATTCAGCTTTGCCATTACAGGAATAATAATTAAATATATTAAGATAGAAAACAGCTATTTTGAATGGTAGTAATTTTTCACAATATTACTGTTTTCACTGTATAATAAATGCAGCCTCTGTGAGCATAAGAGACTTCTTTTAAAAACATTAAAATCTTACTGACCCCAGACCTTTGAATGGTAGTGTACACTTTGCTCTTTTGTAGGCTCAACAAAACCGTCTTGCTGAAAGGCAGCGCGTCTCTTCCTTCATCTCAATCTAATCAGTGTAGACAGTGATGGAGTTTTGTTTAAGTTGTCATCCACTGTACACAAACTGGATGTGATCCATAGGCGTCGCTAGGCCATTTTTAGGGGGGCTATAGCCTCCTCAGACTACTCAGCCCCCTAAATTTTGCGATTAGTTCCATAAACTGCACAAATTCATGATCGCCTCAGTCCCCTTTAATCCCCTTTAAATTTCATATGAAAACGGCTGTTTTCGCTGTGTTCACCCCTCATCACACCACAGGTTTTCTCCAGTGAAAATGAAGCACATCTGAACGCATATACTTTATAAAACGATGTTGCCATTTTCATTTGAATATATATATATATATATATATATATATATATATATATATATA